GTTTAATTAATTGTGCTGTATTGAATAAATTGAATTAAAAAAGTTAAAATGTTGCGTGTACTGTTTTGTGAGTATTAGTTTATCTGGTCAGAAAAAAAAAACATGGACGTTCTGGACACAGTCAGAAACTTGAAATCATCAAACGCTTGGGTCATCAACTATTTATGACATTAAAAAACAAAAAGATGAACTCATGCATTTTGTTTCCCAATCTGTATCTGAAAAACTTGTTTCTAGGTAAATTCTCAGAAAACCTAAGCTAAACAACTGGACAGCGTCTTCTATAAATGATTCAGTGCAAAACGTGTCGAAGAGAAGTCAGTAACGGGACCAATGATTATTAGAAAAGCTAATATATTTAAACAGGATTTGAATATATTGGAAGACTGTAATGTTTCAAACGGCTGGTTCAGAAATTTTAAGTTTCGGCGTGGAATTAGCAGACTTGATGTCACGGGAAAAACAAAATCAGCAAATAAAGAATCTGCAAACCAATATAAGAAAGAATTTGACAAAATTATCAAAGGTAACGAACTGACAGCTGATCAAGTGTATAATGCCGGTGGAACAGGCCTACTTTGACGATGTTCATAAACTTCAATTTTAGCTGGAGGAGAAGAAGAGTCAGCTAAGTGCAAATCTAAAAAACGAAGGGCTTTAGAATATTAAAACATTACCTTTTCATAACGATGCTCAACAAAATTATTGGATAACTGGATTTTCTGACAATTTTCACAATTTCTATCCGATATCTGATGATTATGATTAGATCAAAGACCTTATTTTTTAAATATTTTAAGCAATGTGCCTTAGAATTTTGCGGATCACTCACGATTTATATCAAATATCTGATCATAAGCAATCTCTAACAGTTTCTATCAGCTATGTGACGATGTTTAATGGACCAAAGACGATCTTACACAGTTCTTATCAATTTCTAAGTTTTTTAAGTGATATTTCTGATAATTTTATATATTTATACATATAAAGATTCTGACAATTTATACAATCTCTACCGGTTTCTATCTGATATCTGATGATTATGACTAGATCATTCTTTGTTGATCACTAAGAACATAATTCTTTGTTGATTTCTAAATATTTTAAGCAATATACCTTAGAACTTTGCCAATTTCTCACGATTTATACCAGATTTCTGATTATTTAAGCAATCTCTAATTGTTTCTATCAGATATTATCAGATATGTGATGAAGTGTAATGGACCAAAGACGATGTTGCGTAGATGTTATCAATTTCTAAGTTTTTTAGATAATATTTCTTATAATTTTGGCAATTTCAACTATTTATATGAAGATTCTGATGATTATGACTAGATCAAAGACAATGTTACACAGTCTTTATCATTCTTTGTGAATTTTTAAACATTTTAAGCAATGTACCTTAGAATATTGCCGATTTCTCACGATTCATATCAAATTTCTGATCATATATGCAATCTCTAAGGGTTTTTATCAGATATGTGATGATGTTTATTGGACCAAAGACGATGTTGCACAGTTTAAGCAATGTGCCATAGAATCCACTCCTGTTCCTAAAGCCAATCCAATTAAGGAGTTTAAAGATCTGAAGCCCATTACCATCCTCCCGGTTCTTTCCAAAGTGTTGGAGAGGATTATGGCGGAACAACTACAATTCTTTTTAAATTCTAATCATATTTTACCTCAGAAACAATCTGGCTTTAGGCGACAGTATAGCTGTGCCACGGCACTTCTTGATCTGACAGATGACGTTTTTAGAGCTCTGGATGGGGGAAGATCTACTGTACTTGTGCTTCTTGATTTCAGCAAGGCATTTGATATTTTGAATCATAACCTTTTGTTGGCTATTCTGAGGTTTATTGGTGTTTCTGATTGTGCTGTTTCCTTGTTTCGGAGCTATCTTTCTAACAGGATGCAATCGGTTAAGGTTAAATCCGTTTGTTCTGATCCTTCTACAATTGTAGCAGGTGTACCGCAAGGTTCTATTTTGGGTCCACTTTTATTTAGTATATTCACCAGCAATTTATTTTCAAAATTAACCTTATGTTCCTATCACTTATATGCGGATGATACACAGCTTTATTTCGACCTCATACCTGATGAGTTGCCTCATGCATGTGACAGAATTACTGAGGAATTGGGTCACTTATGTGTGGAGATACAAAGGCATGCTCTTGTGATCAATCCTGACAAGACCCAATGCATCTTATTTACTAAAAAGGGTAACTTATCTGTTAATAAAAATGACATTAACATTAGTATGCTAGGGGAGCAATTAAGAGTGGTGGACTCGGTCAAGAGTTTGGGTGTTGTCATTGATGATAGGCTTACTTTTGGTGATCACATTAGGTTGATATGTAGGCGCGCGTATGGGTCCCTTAGAAGCCTCTATTTTAGTAAAATGTTTTTGTCGATAAAGCTCAAACGCCTTCTCTGTGATGCTCTAGTTTTGTCTCACTTTAATTATTGTAACGTTGTATTTGGTCCATGTCTATCTTTTGAGAGTTTGCGAAGAATTCAGGTCGTGCAGAATTCGTGTCTTCGCTTTATTTATAAATTGAGGAGAGGTGATCACGTCTCACAAGCTCTTCAGAATTGTGGTTGGCTGAATATGCGACAGAGATTTGTTTTTCATTACTTGTCTTTTATTCATGGGATTATTATTTCTGGTAAACCTCCTTATCTTTCTCGCAAGATTACCTTCAGAACTGATGTACACAATTTGAATCTTAGGCATGGATTTTCTATTACAGTTCCGCTGCATAGATCGTCAAAATTTCAGTGCTCGTTTTCCTATCAAGTAGCTCGTTTTTGGAACGCGATTCCCGGTTCTGCGAGGTGTGCCCGCTCGGTTCAGTTGTTTAGATCTATTGTTTTGCGCGAGAGGGTGTTTGATCGGTTTTTGTGATAATTGATATAGTGTTGCTTTTGATTCTTTTGGTAATTTAATAATCCTAACTACTTGTTTTTATTTTTGTTTTTATTTTTATTATCTCATTTTCATTGATACTGCTCAGTTTTGATTTGATTTAACTTTTATTTTATTTTCTGCTGCTGTTCTCATTAGGTGCAAGTAAAATCAGTGGCATTGTTTTGCCTTTTCTGCCCTTGCACCCTTTGAGCTATAATTTAAGTTTAATATTATTGTACTTTTCCTTATTATTGTATTTTGTTTTTTCTAATTTGGCTCAATAAATTATTATTTATTTTTTATTTATTTATCCGTATCTGATAATTTAGACAATCTTGAAGGGTTTCTATCAGATATCTGACGTCTTTTAATGAATCAAAGACAGATATTGCACCGTTTTCATTAATCACTGTTGATTTCTAAGACTTTTCAATAATATTTTTCACTATTTCTGTTTAATATCTGATGATTATGACCGTTAATAGTCTCATAACATTCACCATTATATTAGAATTTGACAGCCTTAGAATTTTGACGATTTCTCACGATTTATATCAGATTTCTGATTATTTAACCAATCTCTAAGGCTTTCTGTCAGATATGTGACAGATTTTATCAATTTCTAAGTTTTTAGGTACTATTTCTGACAATTTTAACTTTTTATATAAAAATTCTAACAATATAAACAATCTCTATCGATTTCTATCTGATATCTGATGATTATGACTAGATCAAAAACAATGTTACATAGTCCTTATCATTCCTTGTGAAATTTTAAATGTTTTAAGTAATATGCCTTAGAATCCGTTCTAACGAGGTTCTACTGAACTTCCGATAAATGCATAAATCAACTTTTAGAATTTAGTTTGATTTGGATTAGTATGAACAATTTTTTGGTGTATATTCCAAATGAAATGCGAGAATATGTAACCATAAAAAATGGAAATTATTTTTACGAAATGAATGTTTCAACTGTCCTAGCAACACAATGTTATATTTAAACACAGAGGAGTAAATAGAAGTATTTATCAATAAATAATATCTTATCTTTGATAATCATAATAAGCTTTTCCTTCTTAATTGATAGGAAGCCTTTAAAACATCCCCATTTTTGTGATTGATGTAATTTTTACTTGCAGCAATGTTCAACCCAGTCACTTTCTCTGAAAATAATTACAACACGGTCATTCAAGCAAATTCGTTTTTAGCAAACTATAAAAATCACTTCAAATGGTTTGATAATGAAATAATGTTAGATATTGGTTGCTCAAATGGATGTGTTACCAAAGAATCGCTCTATCCATTCGTAAAGCCTCATCTAAAACATCTAATTGGAGCTGATATTTCTCAACATGCTATAGATGTAGCAAATGAAACTTATAAAACGTCTACATTATCGTTTGAAGTAATGGATATAATCGATAGTGAGCAATGTGAAAAGGATCTTGAGAAGTTTCATCACATTTTTGCGTTTTATCTATTTCATCTTTTACCAAGATCAGATTTGTGAGTATTATATTAAATTAATTCTAGTTATTTTTTTTTAATTTTTGATCGGTTTAGATGGTCTGTAAATATCTATAAGATGCTAAAATCGAAAGGTCAATTATTTACATCAATAATTGTAGATCCACGTAATGTAGTAAATATTTGCATGGCGGATCAAAGAAATGATGAAACAAAGCCGTGGTCAAAGTACATAAAAAATCTTCCAGATTTATTTATTGATTTTGGTCCAAAGCCCAAAGAAACAATTTCAGATATTTTAAAAGAAGCTGGATTTATTATAGACGTGATGGATGTTCAATCCGTTACCTTCTCTTTTCCAGAAGTCCATTTATTGCGAAGTATTTTTTTAAATTTTTATTGAAATGGTATTATTTTTGAAATTTTCAGATACTTTAGTGGGCGGTAACCACTTTTTGAACCACATTCCTATGGAATTACGTGATGAGTACATTGAAGATTGTATTGACAAATTAATCAAGCAATTGAAAAATGAAGATGGCACCTATAGTTGTTCATTTGATGTACTAACAGTAGTTGCAACTAAACCTTAAATGCTTTATTTGCTTGATACATAAATACTTTTATAACCCAATTTTATCGAGAAGTTAAAAAATATATTTCTTTATTACTCTGTAATATCTTGTTTTATAATTTCCATTGTTTATTACTTTATGGCAAGTTCAATCCAAAAGATATGATTAACAAAATAACAGTTATTTATAAACAAATTTTGATATAATGAGTTTGTAGATAAGTTTCTGGGTTGATAACACTACTTTTTTTTATAAGGAATTTTAGATTTTTTAGATCCGTAAATACTGAATTGGTAGCACCCGTTAATGGCTAAAAAGCCATTATTATTGAATATAACCAGAGTTTAACCATAATTTTTGCAACAAATCCCAATCATAACTTTCTTATAAAGGAAATAACATAAACAGTAGCAAACCTCGAAAATTCGCTTAATACAAGAACCTTTTTACCTTTCATCTTCTTTTCAAAAAGTCAACTTGAAAAGTGGTATTAGTCATACATGGACGTAAATCATAGCGAAACGTGATGCATGAAGTAGCAGCACCAATAAGATACGTTAAACAAAATTACCACACAATTTGCTCTTCTAGAGATGAGATTATGAAACAGGTCTTTCAGTGGACTCATGCAAAGATTATATGAAGAACAGTGACAGAAATTGTGAATGCTGAGGATTTTCTATGATTTGTTGGTTTGGTTTATTTTATTTATGCTTTTTATTATGAGATCGGTGAAAATCTGCTAACAGTCATCCGGCCTGACGATCTTGAGCGGTTAGATAGTATTGGGTTAGAGTCCATGCATGGGTGTCCGACCCACTAAAAATCCCTGTCCTCGTCTATTCCGGAACCGCCAACAGGCATTTACAAGCTACAGCCATACTGTCACTTCTTCCTTCTTCCCCTCAAATTCTCGTTCATCTTTTTCCTGCTCGTTGCTCGGCTGTTTCGGAAAAAAAATTACGCATTTTTTTTTCTTTACCTTTCACTTACCTATTACCTGGACAACGGGAGGATGGACCTCCGCTCGTTCTTCTTCTTTATTGATGCCTCTCTGCTTCCCTTTCAAACTTCAAACTTTCTCCCATCCGTTCGCGTTTCTTCCTCTCTGGACGTGGAGGAGATGGCACCTCTGCAAAATTACTGGAAATTTAAGAAAATGTAATGTTGTGTGATATATATATGAGCTTACCAGCTCTTTCAACGGTCAGTCGATTTCTTCTTTGACTGTCTTTTTTCCTTGTCTATAAATAAAGTACTAAATTCTAAAATTTTATTGATTATACCAACGTGCTGAAAGTTCTTTCCGTAGCTTCTGGCAAGTTTAATATATCCGAAGCTAGTGAGCTCAAGCTTTTACTGGAACAGATTCCTGACCACCACGTAACGCCATTTCATTTTTCACTAGAGATGACCAAGTCTTTTGCAAATAAACCGCTTTCCACTTTGTATATTCGGCAAGTTTAGTAGTTACTGTTTTCAGGATCATTATGCCTCGGATGACTTTTAGTTATTTCAAAAATAAATTCTGTGGCAATCAAATTTTGTTCTGGGCTTAAATATCGTCCTCTACTTGCTGGTTCTAGCAAATTAGCAGCTATATGTATCGGTTTTATCGATTTATTCATTCTTGACATTAAAATACCTTTAATTGTGTCCTGCTCATCTTGAAGTATCGATGTTGATAATAATTGTCGAGATAGCAACTTCTATTTCCAAAAACCTTTCAATTGGAGCATTTGTTTCAAAATATTTAATCCAAGTCCCTAGGTATTCCCCGATTTTCTTGATATTACAGACATCATAGAGCAATTGTAACTGAACTCTTGGACGATAGATGTCTCTTATAGCCGATGTTGAACAATATTTTAATCTGTATTTAGAGGGTTACCTTACGGGTAATATTACGGTAACTTAGCAGGTAATATTACGTAATATACTTAAATTACCGGTAATATTACTTTTTACATCACTATCTGTACCCTTCACCATTTCTCAGTAGTTCCTCTCATCTCAGTCCTGCATTACCACATGTTCGCCTTTCCTCTCTCTTTCAGTTTTTTTTTCGTTTGGTCGTGAAAATTTCTTTCTCCACCCCTTTTCTAACATGACAAGTCATCCTCAGGTCTGTGTCAAGGTTACAGATGTTGTCACTCCCTCAATCCCTACCTTTACGTTCATTTTTCGAGCTTTCCTTCTCTCCTGCAGTACCACAATTTCTGTCTTGTGGGTAGCAATCCGGACTCCCATGGTATTTAACTGTTCTACCACTCTCTCTACCGCATAACTGGCTTTTTCTTCTACAATCGCTTTTGTCCTTACAGTAATAACCACCGCCAAATCGTCGGCATACGCTATCATATTTACCCCTCCTTCCATCTGCGTCCTTAAGATTTTATCGTAGACGTTCCACAATATCGGTACAGTATCGAGTTTTAAGGTACACCACATGTTCTTTCAAATCTGTCTCCGCTTCCTGCTACTATTTCTTTCTGAGATAGGTAGGATTTTATTATCCGTATCAGGTACTCACTTGCATTCCCTTCCTCTAATGCTCTAACAATCCGCAGACATGATGCGGAATTAAACGTATTTTGTATGCCCAGTTTTACCATCACACATCGCTCTTGATGTCAACGATTCCCTATACCATACTGATGGCGTCTAAAGTTGACCTGAAGCTTGCGGAACATCCAAAAATATGGCAGAGCAGACTTTACTTTCTTCTATTGCTATTTCGATAGTATTTGTTATACTATGCACTTGGTCTATTGTTACATCTTTATTCCGAAACTCAAATTGATGTGTTGGTATTAGAGCTTTTTCTTTTATGACAACTTTAGTCTTTTTAATAATGTTATATGGAATATAACTTTTCAAATAGTTTTGATTGTGACGGTAATAATGAGATTTGTATATTTGATCCAACATCTGTGGTGGGTTTACCAGGTTTTAGAAGCAACTTTCCATATTCTTGGGAAGTATTTTTGTTTAAAAGTAGCATTAATTATGTGCAATAGCTTTGCGATCGCCCGTTTTGGTAAATGTTTCAAAAAAATGTTCAAAGTTTCTTCATTACTTAGACTATAGCCTGCAGATTTCGTCATATTTCTGATGTAAAAGTTTCTTTCAGAGGTTCAACAAACAAATTAGCTTTTTCTTGATTGCTCTTAGCCCAATTTCCAATATTATTTCTAATTAGAGGTGTATGTATTTTTGGAACTTTAACCTTTCTTGTTGGATTCCACAGAGAATAATCAGTACTACCCATAGATTAGATATAATATATTATTGCATTATCAATAAATAATATCTTATCTTTGATAAACACAATAAAGTCGTACTTCTTAATTGATAGGAAGTCTGTAAAACATCCCCATTTTCGTGATTGATGTAATTTCTTACTTGCAGCAATGTTCAACCCAGTCACTTTCTCTGAAAGTAATTACAATACGGTGATTCAAGCAAATGCGTTCTTAGCAAACTATAAAGATCACTTCAAATGGTTTGATAATGAAATAATGTTAGATATTGGTTGCTCAAACGGGTGTGTTACCAAAAAATCGCTCTATCCATTCGTAAAGCCTCATCTAAAACATCTAATTGGGGCTGATATTTCCCAACATGCTATAGATGTAGCAAATGAAACTTATAAAACGTCTACATTATCGTTTGAAGTAATGGATATAATCGATAGTGAGCAATGTGAAAAGGATCTTGAGAAGTTTCATCACATTTTTGCATTTTACTTATTTCATCTTTTACCAAGATCAGATTTGTGAGTATTATATTAAATTAATTTTAGTTGTTTTTTTTATTTTTGATCGTGTTAGATGGTCTGTAAATATCTATAAGATGCTAAAATCGAAAGGTCAATTATTTACATCAATAATTGTGGATCCACGTAATGTAGTAACTATTTGCATGGCGAATCAACGAAATGATGAAACAAAACCGTGGTCAAAGTACATAAAAAATCTTCCAGATTTATTTATTGATTTTGGTCCAAACCCCAAAGAAACAATTTCAGATATTTTTAAAAAAGCTGGGTTTATTATAGACGTGATGGATGTAAAATCCGTTTCCTTCTTTTTTCCAGAAGTTCAGTTATTGCGAAGTATTTTTGTTTTAAATTTTTATTGAAATGATATTATTTTTTAAATGTTTAGATACTTTAGTGGGTGTTAACCACTTTTTGAACCACATTCCGATGGAATTACGTGATGAGTACATTGCAGATTTTGTTGGCAAATTCATCAACCAAGTTAAAACTGAAGATGGAAAATATAGTTATTCATTTGATGTCCTAACAGTAGTTGCAACTAAACCTTAGATGCTTTACTTGCTTGATACATAAATACATTTATAACCCAATGTAATCGAAAAGTTGAAAAATATATATTTTTTTTATTACTGTGTAATATCCTGGGGTGTGTAATTTCCATTCTTTATTACATTATGATCAGAGATATGGTTAAAAAATAATAGTTATTTATAAACATATTTGATGAGTTTATAGATTAATTTCTCGTTTGCTACACTATTTTTGAAACATCCTGTACTTAATACAATTTATTTATTACTTACGTTTGCTGTAACCATGGTAATTATTCGCTGGATTGCTTATTAGAAGATTTCAAAGATGCCTATATTGAAAATTATATGAGTAAAGCTCATAATGACTCTAGATTTATAATTTTATAATTTGAAAACTGTTTGTAACAAAATCTGAAAATTAAATATATATATATTTGGAAATAATATTTGAAGTTTTCGAAAGCCAATAAAATTATTATATTAATAATAACGTTGTTTGTAGAGTATATTATAGTTACCTCATTCCAGGGTCTTTTCGACAATATTCGAAGTAACAGTTTTGCTCACTTCAAAATGAATTGCATTGCTTTAAATTTTTTTGAATAAGGTCTTTCGTTAGTAAAAGCAATTATTTCAACGGTTTTCTTCTGTCGATGATATGACGCATTGTTAAAAATAAATTTACAACATTTCCTTAAGGGTGAAAGAAGCATTGTTTCTTTGCCATAGAACCAATAAGCGATTGCGTATTTTTATATTGTACAATGCAAATCTCCGATATCATAAAATTAGCTAAATCATTGACATTTTAAAGAGGAATTGAATTGCTTTGCAATTATTTGATATTATCTCCTGCAATTAATGAGACAACAAGATAAAAAATGTTTAAATATGCTATGCTTCCCCAAGAGATATATGGTAACACAATTTACAGCAATAATAATTTTGTATGTATGTAGTTTCAAGTGAGGTTGGTTAAACCAAAGCACTTGGGCCCCAACGGTCCCTTTGTACATCCTCATGGTTTACTTCGGCCATGTGTAAGTCTATTTGGAGGAGTGAAAGGTGTTCGAAAATGGCATCCGATCAGGCTGATACCGCTGCTCGCCTCGTCTTAAGCCGGGCTGATACTCTAACGCCCAGCAACTTAAAGACGACCTCCAAGCCGGGTTGGTAACTCCAACGCCCTGAAACTTGGGTGCATGGCAGAGTACCTCTCAAAGAGCGCAGACGCGCTTTCAACCCGTTTTTACGTTCACAACCTCCAACTACACATGTATCTGACGACAACCAGAGATGTTAGACTGGTTGCCGGGACCGACGGCTTAACGTCCCCTCCGAAGGACGGGGAGGCGACTAGGCATGTATTCACTGGGAATGGAACCCAGGACGCCGGTGTGGTAGCCCGAGAGTTTACCACGGGCCACTCGCCCTCCTGCAATTCATGAGACAACAAGATAAAAAATGTTTAAATATGCTATGCTTCCCCAAGAGATATCTGGTAACACAATTTACAGCAATAATTTTAATTCTGGTCTATTTCCTAGATAGAAGTGTAAATAACTTCACGGACCAACATAGCAAAAATGGTAAAATCGTAAGATAGGAAAGGGTAGGATAAAGTAAGGTACGAGTTAGGTTGTTTAGAAACATCTGGACAGGTATAAGGCATGTTTAGACATATCTAGACATGTTTAGACACATTTGGACACGACTGAACGTATTTATACGCATTTAAAATCAATTGAATGTAGCCAGATATGCACACGATTAGACATATGGACTAATATATTTTGACACGATTGTGCAAGTTTAAAAACATTAAATCAGTCGAAAAGTCGAGTGGAAAATTTTACCGACAAAAAAATCGGCCGAAGTCTAATCTATATTCTCCAATTTACATTCTTAAGTCTAAATTCAACAACCTACATTCTCCAATCCATATCGGCCAATTTGCATTATCGAAATTACATTCAACAATCTACATTCTGCAATCATTCTCCAAAATACACTCCCCAATTTACATTCAGCAGTCTGCATTATCCAATCTATATACTATAATCAACACTCTACTCACTAATCTACTTTTTCCAATCTACATACATCTGTCTGTATTATCCAATGTATATTTAGCAATCTTCATTTTCCAATCTAGTCTGCAATCTACTTTATACAATCTCCAATGTTCTTTCACCAATCTACATTTGGGATAATATGGAATAATAATTTCAAAGATGCTTAAAAACTAAACACTCAGGTGTTTTTCTTATTAAAAATAGATCAGTGTATTAGTGTTGAGCAGATAAGTGCATTATATTTCATATTTATAGATGACATCCGATTATTGAACTGCATAAAACGAAACACAGTGTACATTAGAGGGTCAAATTCAACACCGTGATGCATAATTATATCAAAAGTAATTCTAGCAAAATAATCTCGAACGGCAACCTCACCAACTACAACGCTTTACTATAAATTAAACAAGCGCCCAAAGATAGAATGGAAGGAGAACTAGATTGGGGAACCGAAATGAGATAACCAATAAATCCAGATTTAAGATTTTCGCTGATTTTTAGAGATTGGTTAAATTGGATTTACCGTCAAATGCATTAACTGTCCAGCTTCTTTAATTATTTTTTGTCCATCCTCATATTTCTCGCTAACTCTTCTTTGTGATTCTTAAGTCGCCTCGTAATTCTGTGCTAAAACAATCATTATTTTTGGGTTGCATAAAATTCACAAATTTTGATCAATAACTTTTTCAAAATTTGTAAATTTAATTAATTGTACAAAAACCATCAATTATTTTGAAAACTCCTATATATTTGTACATTAAAAAGCTATATAAACGAAACCATATAAAAACTAGATCACCAAATAAGAAAAATATATGCGTCAAAACTTGTCTGAAATACTCTCAAAAAATCATATTGAGATTATGTAGGATTATTATGAGACTGTTCTCATACATAAATTATTGCACGCGTTGACGCAATACACATTTATAGTTCTCGATTAATGACGGTAGAATGTAGATTAATAAAGAGAAATAAATCACGATTTCTAATCTTAACTAACCTAAATTATCAGTAGAGGTCGGCTAAACAGAAGAAAAGGTTTTCCACACTCTAGGTTTTTTTTATAAAATACAATATTTAAATAATTAACACAATTAATATACAAGTATGTGTCTTGTTTTAAAAAAACTATTTCTATTCCTATTTCTACAAAGTAAAATTAACTTCAGGCTCGGGCGGCGTTTTAGGTTCGGTTGTCTTTATTTCTTTCCGTTGTACTTTTCGTTCTTCACATAATGCTGCTATTTTTGATTGTTTTTGATTGTTTCGACGATTTAAATCAAACTCTTCGGGTAATTGTCTTTTTGCTGAGTTTACAGTTGCATTGATTTCTTTTAATTCCTATTTAAACAAAAATAATTTATATAATTAATAAAATAATACTGCAAAACCTCGATATAACGGACTAATAAAGGGAACGGAGTGTCAGAGTAAGGCCAAAAGTCCGCTATATGAAAAAATGTTTAATTTCAACAAAAAGTAACATAGTAATAATAGGTAGGTACATTCAAGTTTTTTATTCATCCAGAATTGACGACTCCAAATATTCTGGGATACTGTAGAAGGTGTACTTCTTAAGATTTTTGTTTTTTTTTTGTAAAATAATGAATATGGCTTCGTATTGGTACTTCGAACTTATGTAGAGGTGCAAACCTAGTATTAGAGGGTTAGAGTTAAGTCTACTTTTTGGAATACGCACTAACTGGTAGTGTCTGCTGTCATACATATGTACGTCTTCAATCTTATCTAGTGAGGCCTCTTTCTTTTTAATTTCCAACAACCTCTCGTATATATAGGCAGATGGTAACGTCATTATATCGTATTTGATAAATAGGGGTTTGCATGTTGATGTTTGAGGAACTCCATCAATTGCCTGAACGGATTTCTTTTGCAGACGGAAAACTCTTTGAGCATGGGAAAAGTTACCCCATACCGCAATACCATACAGCATAGAAGCATGATATAAGGCAAAGTAAACTGTCCTGGCTTCCTCATTGCCAATTAATTGTCGCACCCTTCTAATTGCATATATTTGACGACTGAGCCTGTTACAAAGTAATTCTACATGGTCGTATATTGCACCTTTCCTCCTTGGAACTCGTGATGAATTCGACTAGTTGTTAAGTAGATGTTGTGGGACTTTTCACGATTTGTAACAAGTTTATTGGTAGTAAACCAGTTAGATGTGCAAGTTCTAAGATCTTCACTATCTGATGTTCTTTTCCGCAGCCCGAAACCACCGTTACTGTATCATCCGCAAACAGGAGAGTAAGACAATCAATACTAGCGGGTAAGTCATTAATATAGATAATAAAGGCCATAAAGGCCACATTACAGTTCGCAAGTTTCATTGCCGACAAGAAATACTGTGGTATTTATCTTACACGCATGCGCAACTGACGCGTTCTTTTTGGTATTCTTGCACTTGCAGATACTAGATTTGGACATATATTTCTTGAATTTACGCTGAAAGTATGATGAGTCTTTTAGTTACTTTTTGTGTTAGCAACAGTAAAATATAACGACATAATGTGTTTTGTTGGTTTATGGACATGTGCCTCAATCTTTCAAAAAATATGTGTTGGCAACATTGCTTGCAGTTGAAATATTGCAGTTAAAAGTTGCCAAATGTAAAGCCAATCGCGTTAGATATTGTCGCAATAACTTCGTGCAAGATACCTTGTATGTAAGAAAAATTGCTTACTGTAAAGTAACCTTAAGATACTACCCCGAGGCACTCCAATTTTAATACATTTTATATCACTCCTCAATTGATTCCATTCCACTATTTCGGAGCGGCTTTCGAAATAAGATTTAGTGTAACTCCATGAAAACCATAATATTCCATCTTAGTCAGAAAAATCTCACAGTCAAACGCTTTTGAAAGATCATGGAAGTGTGCTAGACAGTTTTCCTCACATTCGAAACGATTGTAAACCCATTCAATCAGTCTCTGAAGGGCATTTACCGTCGATTTAGCTTTCCTAAACCCATATTGCTTCTAAGTGAAAAATTTATTTTTTTCAAAATAGTTTATTATTAGGAGTGCCAGAATAGCAATAGGTCTGTAGTTATTCATATTCTCGGGACCACCCTTTTTAAGTATTGGTATAATTTTGTAAGTTTTAATCTATCGGGAACCACACCCTTTCTAATTGAGTAGTTTATAATATCAGAAACTGGATCTCTTATGATGTTTACGGTTTCTTTCAAAAGACGGATACTGATTCCGAACATATCCTCTGTGCGTTTGCCTTGGAATGATTTTATTATGGTATGTTGGTACTTCGCTGGTTGAGTTTGGGTAAATGGCAGAATGCTTATAAGGTCCTTAGGAATATTTGTGAAAAACTCGTTAAAGGAGTTAAACTAGTTGAGGTTAATATTGAATGTCTTTCCCGTCCAGTTTATTATATTCCATGTTGTTTTAGTTTTATTTTCCAATGCAACAATCTGCACCTTTTCTTTTTTGGATTGTTCAATTTGTTCCAAATAAAATTTTTTGGGACTATTGTATATAGTTTTAAAGTCTTCATTATTCTATGATAGGTTTCTTGAATCAAGGTTAGGGCATTTTTTATTTGTGTTAAAACCCGATCGTTCGGAACCCTGTTTCGCTTGAGTTATAAACCTTATAAGGAAAACAAGCTTCAAACTGAAGCATGAAGGTGTTAAGGAACATGTTAAATTTATAGTTAGGGTCATTTTCATGGTAAATCTCAGACCAATCTTCTCAGGCTAACTGTAGTTGGAATAGGTTTATTTCTTCTTTACCAATAAATCTCTTTCTAGTGACATATCGCTTTTTCTGTTCTATTATGAAGTGAAAGGTCTAATATGTGTGGTCTGATATTTGGTCTGGGTACACTAAAGCTAAGTAGACATTTATAGATACAAAACATTATCTGATGGCGACCTGTAGGCACAAATTTCTATTATATTTAATAAGGGCAGGTGGTAACCCAACACTTCACAATGTTTTTCAGTTGTTTTTGCTTGAATATTCGTGATATTCAGGATTTGTATTCCTTTTTTAGTGTAAATAGATATTCCACAATGTAATAATTGCTGTCTGATGAATATAGCAGATTGAGTGTAATTTACAAATTGATAAAGATCTTTGTTTTAATTTTTCATCCAGTGTTCAGTAAGGCATAGGATATCGATGTCGTGATCACTAAATAACCTTTCAACTGCTGCAGATTTGTTTGCCAACGATTGAACGTTTAAATGCATTATTTTAAAACACATTTTTCTTAATTTTCCAAATTGCAGGATGTAATTATGACGTAAAGTCTGTACCGCAGCTAGTCCTTCAATCACTATTTTTCTAGAATAAGTGTCTTGCGCGGATGAAAAACCGCGTTACGTTTGATCCGCTTGGCTTCTACAATTTTTTCAAAATTCATTCCTTTCAATCCGCCGGAATTTTGAAAGAAGAATAGTATTCAGGGTATTTCAATTTATTTGCTCACATATCACCGCTGCAAAATCATTTTTCAATAAATCTACAATATTTTCAGATTTGGTAGAGGATTCTAGCCTGACATGACAGTACACTTATCATTTGTTCTTTTTATACCCTTCGTTTACGTATTACTGCTTTTCCTGTTGTTTGAGTGTTGTCATTCATTTGGTGGTACATTTACTTCTTTTGTTACATTTACCTTGTCTTCTATAGGGTAGTGGTTTAAATAAATTATTGCATTCTATTACTTCATTCGGTTGTTGTCTTGTTGAAACAGATAAAAACAGATAAATGATTTGTTGTTAAGTTTTCCAATTTCTCTGTAGATGAATATGTAAGCGTCTTATTGTTTTTTAGTTAATAATTTACCATTTACACTATACAGTACAATACATATCTATACACCCAAACTCTCTACCCACCTCCCCCATCTCCACACCTTCGGCTCCTCGCCATAATCACTTCCCTTATCCACCTTTTGCCCTCACCCCTCTCTCTCCCAAAATTTGCTTCCTGTCCATCGCCTCCTCCCTTAACTCACTACAGCCTCTCAGCATGTGTTCCAGCGTCCTCTCCACACAGCCTACACCAACTCTCCACATCGTCCACCCAGTACCTGTTCCCTCCCTCCTCATTGCCACAGCAGAATCTGGCCACCAATCTCTTCCCTTCATCATGCCCCTCTATCAACAGATACTTTGGCAATTCCTCTGTCACTATCTCACTATACTTTTCATTATATCCCCCTCCCGTATATGTGACCTTCTTTCCTGCCTCTGTATGTCCCTGTCCCTATCTCTCAATTCTCTCCACATTTCTCCTCTCTCCACTCTTTTATTTTCGACCCCAGTTAGTAAATATCCCACTCTTCTATAATATCCCTCCCTATCTCTTTGCCCATATATCAGCCCCCTCTCCTTAATTTCCTTCCAGCACTCCCCTGGATCCTGCAATGTCTATCATTTCCTCGTAGTTCGCTACTCTTCTCCCAGCCTCCACCCTTACTGCATCCACCTTAACCTCCTCCCTCACTACATACTCTGGAGTCTCCCTTGCCAACCCTAGTACCCATCTCCAATACATTGTTTGTACATCCTCCAGCAATGCTTGTTCTCTCCATCCCCATACTGTTGCGCCGTACATCATTGTGCTCCTCACCAAGCCTTGAAACATAACCTTTCTTTTTTCCACAACCCTTCTAGAAGTTGTTTCCCCCCATCCCCTGTAGATGAATATTCTCTCATGCATTATTTTATTTTTATCTTTAATTTCTTCAATTAAACTTTGTTGGAGCCCAATTGTCGATTTTACATGTAGTACTTCATCGTGTTTATCAGTTTTACCTTCCCAGAGGCGTTTCATCTTATCCTTCGCTGTATCGTAGCAGCTAGGGTGGAATTCATATTCAATAATCGAACATTTCACCCCTTGTTGCAATTTTCCTTTGCAATAACCACAAAAGATTGTTTTATTTTCACTCGCACTAGAACTCGCGTGCGCATCGCGATGTTTACGTTAATGCAGAAAATGTAGAGTAGAACTAAGTATTAGAACTAACACTAGACCTAGAACTAGAAATATTCTTCTTTAATATTTCTAGTTCTACTTTTAGTTCAATACAAATATATAACTATGTAGCGCTGAATAACCCGAGTTTATCTATAAACATGGAATAAAGCAACTTGGGGAATACCCCGAGTTGGATTCTATCTATTAGCGCAAACATTTATATTTAAATATACTGAAGTATTAAAATAGATAATATTAATAGCGACTTAAAAATTTTTTTGTCCGTTTTATTATACTAACAAACTTACCGCTGATGTACTTCGATTAAAACAATAATTCATTGTATGTTCATTATTAATTAAACCTGTTGGACTTTCGTATGGTTTTAAAAATACATTTCTTAAAATTTCTGTTCTTGGTGAAGCTCTTAATACTTTCTCACTCGGTAAAGGACTTAAATGAACACGATGAATGGGCTGAGGTTTATCAGTCATTTTAAATTTTAAAGCGAAATCTTTAACTTTGTCCGTATAAACGGTGTTATAAAATTCAATTAAATTCAATTCTTGATAAACACCGTTTATTTGTTCTCCGTTTACTTTTCGATAAACGTCCGATGTTGCTTGAGGTTGAGCCCTGTACGCTTTCATTATATTATCGGCGAATTGTACGGGACGTTGTGACAATTTACAAACAACGTAAACGGCACACATTAATAATTGATCTAAATGCCGATCTTTCATTAAATCGGTTTCTCGCACTGAATATTCTAGGACTGTCCAAATTTTTTGTTGGAAATCGGTTATGTTTAATGATTTGCATATTTCAAACATTCGGACTCCCGCTAAATTATAGAACTAAAAATATTATTAATTTAATAAATAAAATAAAATTTTATTCGATTTATTTACTTTTCTTAATATTATTCCTAAAGTTCCACCTTTTTTTGGTTTAATTTCTGGCGTTTTCGATGATAACTCAACCATTAATTCACCACTTTTTGCGTCAAGAAGTTGTAAAACTTTTTTTGTTCCTTCTGATCCAACAATAATTTGAGTTGAATGATTATTTTGTAATAAAGATTGTCCCGGTTTAATATCAGGAAACGTATTCTTTTTAGCTAAATCAATAGAACTATTTGGTGATTGAAACGTTTCCATTGCAGATGGAACAGGAGACATTAACCCAGGATTATTTTCTTTCTTCTCATTGCAACTAATATTAAAAACCCGATTGATTTGATGCGGAAGTGCTACATCTTCGAATTTTGGGATAACATTATTTTCTTTATCGATTTCTTTCCATAATTCACTGTCATGTTTCCACATTAATGATTCTAATGATGTTTCTTCAATCTAAATATGGTTCAATTAAAAATAATTAGTTTGAATTAAGAATAGAATGAGCAAGAAGACATATTCATTGGCATATGCATATGATCTAGTTGTGGTGTCAACAGAGGCTAAATAATTGAAATTGAGATGATGAGATCAATGAAGACATACTTTGATGAGAAGGATTTGGAGGTGAATGTTCAGAAGACGAAGATTATAAAATTCAACAAGGGCGGGAGACTGAAAAGGAAGAAATGGGAATGATGGTGTGATAATGTATGGAGTGAAAATATGGGGGTGAAAGTAACACAAGATGGTGGGGGAGATCCAGAAAGATATTGAAAGATATGATCGTGGGGTTGAGCAGGGAAACACCGGGATATACAGGTGTCCGGAAATGACGTGTACAACGGAAGACCACAAATATCTTGACCAGAAATATAACTCAACGTATCTATATAAAAAATTGCTTAGTTTATCCGCTAGAGGGCTTTAAAAATTCATGATGAATCAAAGATAAAGCGCAAAATACGAATACAGCTGTCAAGTTTAAGTGACATAAACTGTTTTTGTTTTAAAATTAATTATATCTAGCCAACTATTAAAAAAACGTTATTAGTGTTACCTTACATCACTCATTCGCGCTTGTGGGCATTTAGAAAACATTTTTTTGTAGCTAAATAATTCGCCCAACTGAAATTTTGTAAGAGATAAAATCGTTTCTAAACTGAAGTAACTATTCACAAAAAAAATGGTAGTGTTTATACAGGGGCTTAAAAAATATTAATGCAGAATTTATTGTGACAAAGTTTTTAAACACCCTATAATTTTCGAAATTAGAGTTTATTCAACAAATAGTTGTAGTCTACTGATACAAACGTATGATCAAAAAATTAATAAAATCCATTGGGGATTTCTCGATTTACGTATTTAAAAAAATATATTATTTTTAAAGCACTCTAGCGGCTAAACTAAGCAATTTTGTATATGTATAGATAGGTTGAGTTAAATCATAATATTTTTGGTCAAGGTACTTGTGGTCTTGCGTTGTACACGTCATTTCCGAACACCTGTATAGTGAGAGAGAATTTCATGCTGAAGAAGATGAGGGTGGACGCAGGCCGAAGGGTGATAAAGTACGAGGGTGGGCTGAATCAGAGCAGCATTTTGGAGGGAGGTTAAGACTGGGACGTGGGAGTACAGACAACAAGAAACAAGGAAATATTATATCAGAGTAGGGTACTCAACACAGGAAATACAAAGAAGGAGGAGGGAAGGGTCAACACCAGTGTTGCCGTTTCGGTACAATCGTACTGAATTCAGTACTATTTCAGGGATAGAGTACGTGAAAGTAGCAATTCAGTACAAAATTCTTATTCGGTACAATTGTACTGAAATCAGTACATTGTTAGGGAATGTAGTAAATACCCAACGACAGTAGAATCTAACAGGACTGCTACATCCGTTGTTAGCTAAAAAAAAATATTTCCTCTCAGAATGCAGTACATTTTGTTCATTTTCAGTATTTTTGATACATTTATTTTTTTCGGTGCGGCAACATTGTGGAAGGAGTTGGAGGGTAGAAGTAGAGATGTGGAATAGCAGGAACGGCGAGCTCAGGTGGAAGAGGAGGGATACAATAATAAGTGATGGAAGGACAGGTGTAAGGATTTGAGGGAGGGAGGTATGAAGTAGTGGCGCTTGTTGGATGGAGGGAGAGGGGAGGGCATGGATAAGGGAGATGATGAGGGACAGGAGGAGGAGGCATTAGAGTATAAGTTGACAATAAACAAAAACTAAAAGATATTATATGATGAGCCACACTTTGAAGGTTTTTCTTCGTATAGTACATGGAAGAATAAGAAGTCGATGAGAAAGGAAACCCAATTTAGTTTTTGGAATGCACTTGGAATGACTTTGCACCTGTGAGGCCATTTTGCCTTATATACAGGCTGTCCCGAAACTCAACGCCAAGCGGGCAGCGGTTGAGAGGCCAACCCATACCTGTTTTAGTAAAAATAAGAAAAAAAATCTGTCTCTTACTTAAGTGGTAATAGACATATTTTTGAAAATGTTAAAAATCTTTCTTCTACATCACATCTTTAGGTACTATGGTCAGAAATGTTCGCAATTTAATAGTGATTTTTTTAATAATGTATTCCTTATGAAGCATGCTTCTATAGCAGTCACAAACTAAATAACAAAAGTCGTTAGTTTTGCAAAAAAAAGTATTAGTTTAATTGAGTTAAGGTTGAAAGAATTTATGTCTATTAAGTTTGACACACGATTTCTAAACAAAGGAGTAGTACAACACACTTGGCAAGTTATTTTAAAAGATGGCCTGTTTAGTCAAGATTCCAAAATGGTATAACACTTGCCATTTTTCTTTTCCTAAAAAATATTATTGCCTGTTTTTCTGCAAAAAACGGTTTATTTAAAAAATTCATACCTTCGTATGTTATTTGTATTTCCTCCAAAATAATTTAACAACTTTGTTAGAAGATGTGCCACTCAATATCTACAGAGAAATGTGGTTTCAACAAGATGGTTGCCCAGCTCATTATACTTATCCTGTACGGGATTGCATACAGAATAGCCAGAAAGATGGATTGGATGTCTTCGTTCGATTATGTGGCCACCTCATTCTCTGGGCCCTTGATTGTTTTATTAGGATTGCATTAAAGAAACAGTGTATTAAAAACCGATTGAAAATCTTGCCGAACTGCGCCACAATATTTATATAGCAGCAGAAGAAATAAATGCAAAGAGATTTGCAGAATTACTAAAAAGATCTTTTCTGCGACAATGCAGAGCTTGTATTAGTACCGACGGCAAACAATTTGAGCATTTGCTTTAGTTTTAAGAAAATAATGCTATAAAATTAATAATAAACAAATTAATAATTCCTTTTGTTTGTTTAATTTTGTCTTTAGGTTAACCTTATTTGAAACAGTCCTTTTGCAAGACATAAGAGCAACCATCTTAAGTTCAAACTAAAGATTTGACACTACGTCAGATTCTTGAAATTCATAACATTCGACACCAGAAAGTCATTGGCGGAGGTTTACATATCGTGAATTGAAAGGTTAAAAGGAAAATTTAAAGCTACGCCACTGCTTGCAAATATCAAGCCGTGACCAAGCGTTGCTTTCAGAGAGTCAGTCTTTTTCTGAGAATTTTGGCTCAACAAATAAGAAAAAGCTTTTGATAAAGGTCAGCATGGAATGGATATCGGATATGATTTTCAACAGAATAAAGACCTTGGAGTGATGAAGGAGTGCGACAAAATCCAAGGCCTTTAGAGATATTGGATTATGTAAATGCGACAGGTCAAGAAATGGGGCTAAAAATGAATGTTACTAAGACAAAATGTATGATATTCAGTCGCTAACCGCACGCCGATGCTTCCTCAATTTAGTCAATTCAGATAGTTTGATCCTATATCACGGAACAACTAGATCCAGATAACGAGATCAAGTGCAGAATTGAAACAGATCGCAATATTTCTAAGAATGAAATCATTCTTCGGTAACGACAATTAAAATTGTGTCAAAAAATGTTCAAAGGTTATGGAATTAGCTTGTAGGTGTTATTATATGGAGCTGAGATTTGGACTCTAAAAAATTAGATTCTGTTCGCCAAACTATCGCCAAAATGAAAGAAAAATCGACACTACACGCCGCCAACATCATTTTCCAGCACAACTTTATATCTCGATTGTTATGCAAGGAATAGAAACGCTTTAGATGGTATTCACACGGTTTAGGAATTAGGTTTTGTACAAAACTAACACCGACATTGGCATCACAGACGCTAGGACATTGAGAACCTTAAATTGGGTCTTTACTAGCACTTGTGTGGATTGGACAGGAATATGCAGTGTCAAATATTTATTAACATTGTGGGAATCTGATATGGCACTGAAAGAAGAAAAAAGATGAGATATTAACTTACAAGCATAAGATGTTTAATAACATTTCTCGTCAATTGTCCACTTGTTGCTCTGATTGTAATTTCGATAATTTTAATCATTTGAAAAGCAGGAACATTAAAAACTTTTAAACTCCATGGAAATTTCCTTGGGAATTTATCGTTGTAATTATTAAAAGAAAATTCCACGATTTCCACGCTACATATAAATATGCTTGATATAAATTCCAATCGTTCTATTAAAGGCTATAAAAAGAAATTAAGAATTAATCGAAAGAATTTTAAAAAAGGCTTAAATTACCCCGACATTAACATTGTTTTTTCTTTCTGGTTTTAAAATATCTTCAAGTAACTTGTATGCTAAAGTCACAATTAAATTGGAACGAACGTTTAAATTTTTTATTTCTTCTGTTGAAGAAGTATTCGAGCCAATCTCTTCTTTACATTGCGTTATGTATTTAGTTTGAAGTTCTAAAATTCGATTATTAACTATATCTGTTGGATCTCGATTTAATGATCTAAAAAAAAATATTACGTTTTTCGTAAATAAAAAATGTTTGAATCATTTACTTGAAAATATTAATTAAATCTTTACTAGGAGAGGTTCCCCTGCCAACCAAAATATTTTTAAGCCTTGCTATATTCTGTGAAACTGAGGTTACATTATCCGAAATTTGTTCCTGTTGAAGATATTGTCGACATGTTAACGGCGTTGTAAATGATTTACAAACTGTTTTTGATTCAGAAATAGGAGTAGAAACATGTTCGGCTAAAAAATAAATTATTTAAAAAAGTCTTTCAACACTTGAAACATCAATAAAATAAAAGGAACATTTACCTGTTGAAGTTTCCATAACAGTTTTTTGTCTAAAATATTCCTCTAAAAAAATAAATAAAATAAATAAACTAAATAAAATCAAAAAATCAAATAATAAATAAGTACATAAAAGAAAAATAATAAAAAGTAACGTTTTAATAAAACTTACTTAAAAATATACGTTCATCGAAATCACCATTATTTGATAAAAAGCTTTCGTAAACTTTAGTTAAACTGCTGTAGTTAAAATCAAAAACGGAAGAATGTAACAAAGTTAAATGTTCCCCACTAACCGCTAAAACTTTTCTATCAATCCAACCTTTAATAATCGATTTTAACGTGTACTCTTTGCAATATTGAACGTCGGTTAAATCTTCTTTGTGTTCATATAAAATTTCGATTATAGATGGAGGTTCTGTATGGAAAAGGTTGTATTCTGTATCAATCCAATTTGGAGGTAAACCTAAAATAATAAAACAATAATAATAATATTCGATTAAATTCGGTTAATGTTTTTACCAGGAAAATTTGGGTTGAATAAATCTCTTCTTTCATCCAAAAAAGCGTTAGAAAAGATTAAGTCGAATAAAGCGTACAACAATTGGTATGAATTTACCAAACTTTGATCGAACGTTTTATTTTCGCTTTTTGCGGTGATAAACATTAACCAACAAAATTCAAATACACGCTTTGTTGAGCACAAAGCGGACCTGGAATTCATTAAACTACATGAGCAACTTCCAGATTTGTCCAAGTTCTAACCAGATAAAAGATTATAAACTAATTAATGCTAACAATTTATTACCAATTAATCCTTTAACACACTTTTAAAAAAATACATATTTAAATAAACATTCATTTTTATGATGTAAAAAAGTTATTAAATCTTAAACGGGGTTAGATTTTAATGTTGTTGACTTTAGAAACTATTTAGTAAGTGTATAGAATCAAAGATTAAATTAATCTGAAGAGGGGTTGGACTCTTCATATTTGAATACAACAAAGTTTTGCAAATAGATTGTAATTTTATTATTACTTGTAGCCTCATTTTGAAATCTTGTCCACTACAACACTTTTTGTGCTATTGTCTATCCATAAACTATTGCACCAGTGTAGATCATCACCTCATCATGATATTGTATTATGTATAACACAAAATAAAAAACATTCTGTATGAAACTCATTAAAACAGTTTCTGTCATTATTGAGACAAAGATTGACTTTGAATTTTACGCAAAAAAAGGATTTTCTAGTAACATTGACTTTAACATTTAACATTGACCCCCTTTGTAAATATAATACCCTGAGTCTTGTTAGGATTAATGTTCAAACCATGATTAATAATTTTTGATGCATAAAGGAATCAATTCGTCAGTAATAATACGGCATATCGAAGGTTTTGGTTTAAAACTGTGATATAATTGCGTATCAACCGCATAGAGTAAGAACAATGCTTTAATTTAGAAAGTAAGTCGCAAGTATAAATAGCAAATAAAATTGGTCCAAGAATAGACCCTTGTGGAACACCTGAATTCAACTTAATAGACTGAATTCTATTAGAAAGATAGTTATAAAAAAGTTTAACCGCATGTACATCCAACCTGATAAACTTTAAGATGGGATAAACTTAAGTATATCAAAGGCTTTGGTGAAATCAAGCAATATCAACAAAGTTGATTTACCCTGATTCAAAGCCCGGAATACATCATCAGCCAAATCCAGAAGCGCAATAGCACAACTAAACAGTTTTCTAAAACTAGACTGTTTAGGTTGGTAGTACAATGCGCCTCTAAATAAGACTGAAGCTGCCCAACCGTAAGCCTTTCCAATAACTTTGATAACACTGGCAGCATTGTTATAGGCCTCAAATCCTTATATGTATTAAATGGAACTACTTTGGTAATGGGAGTAACATAGCTGTACTTCTATGAGTCTGGAAAAACTGATTGAGTAAAACAAAAATTGTACAGATGGCCAAGTACATCAAAAATACGGGGACAACACAAAAGTATCATATCTAAGCTGATCCCATCAGACCCAACACAAGTAATCTTCATGAAATGCCATTGTCGGTAAGTCAGGACGCATTCTGTTACCATAATGGTACCATGATTGTAATACTCCAAAAGATCAATGTCAGAAAACTAAGGTATCTTGTATAGTTACTAAAAAATGTATTAATATTATAGGGATCTGCCAAATATGGAGACATGCCAACACTGGAAGATTGCAAAACATTAATGTTTTTAAGATTTTTCCACATATCTCTAGAATTAGAGCGATTTGTAATACTGAAAAGTTTCCTGATTTTTATGTCTCTTATATCTATTAAAAGCATTATTCCTTAATTTAATCATTTGTTTAATATTCCATGTAGTCCAGGGTAAGGTCCTTTTATTTAGCACTTTCGTCACAATATTTGCATGAGAAGTCAAATAAAGATAGAAATACATCAGTAAAACAGTTGAACTCATCGTTCAATAAACTTTGGCCTCAGGTTTAGCACTTGAAGGAATTAACAATTAATAGACTAACAAATGATCTGAAACCATAATATCCTCAGTATCACAAATAAGAAGAGGCAGCTCTTTAGATATAATAATAACGTTAATGTCAGAGAAATCAGTAATCCGAGTCGGTTGGTCAATAATTTGGCGTAAATCAAAAGCTTCCACAGTAGAGATCAAGGCATCAGCAGAAGATCCAGTGACCAAAAGTTTAACATGAATATCGTCCAAAATTATAACTCCATCCACAGCAACACAAATATATCTATGAAATAAAAAAGATCTAAATACAATTTTTTCGATCTTATGAGTATCCTGTAATAACCCTAATTAGCAGGTCAATACGAACTTTTTATATAAGCCTTATTTTATCTAGAAAACCTTTCGAAAGATAAGTCCTCCAAGATTAGATTGGTATGTTAGATGTTTTGTAGGTCCAGTAGAAAAATTAAAATTTTAGCACATATTATTTTGGTTCTTTAGTATTGCTTTAATGTTGAATGTGCAAAAATTGATCTCTTACTTTACTTAGTAAAGGTTACAGAAAATTAAAATTCTTAGTAAAAAAATTTGTTGTAACTACTAGGTTGGGCAGGCCTTAACAGGACATTGTTATCGTTCTGGTAGCTGATAAGTTAACAATTGACTTATTAATGACACTTTTTGTCATTAATCATCGTCTTCACTTTCATATTCGTCTGGTATTACAGTCACTGTTAGTTTATTTTTACCATAAAAGGTCTTTGTATCGATCTAAAAATCGTTCACATCATAAAAGTACTCAAACTTATTACCACGAACTGTGCCAAATATGACATAAGTCTTACAACCATCAAAGATTGGCTGATTTGATATAACAAGTACATTTTATCTTCAGTGATATCCAGAGCAAAAACCTGCCTTGCGGCCGAACTTTTTCCAAAGGCAAACGATTTCAAATGCTACAATTTTTTGTTTTGGTATTGGAAGAGCATTAGAAGGCAAGGAAAGAGAATAAGCGTTGAAGCTTTTCTGTTTTGACGCACAGAAAAAAATTACCTGTATACAAATATTGAGAAATTCATTTTATAATTTTTCGAACCTCACTCCCAAAACCCATTTAACTCATATGATTATACTCGTGTGATTACAGGACTCGGTTTTTCTCGAACCAAGAATGCATATTATGCAAGCTTACAACAACTCGTTGAAAGATGCTTCATGCATCCATAGCATTTGTGATATAAGGTTTGGATTTGCTCGAATCATAATAATTAATAATCGCCAAGCCAATCTTCCAACACTTCTAGAGAAAAATGTTTTTCTTTGTCGTAATTGCATTGCACACTTTTGCCATGCAGTTGCATCATATTCGAAACATCATTGAAAATAAATCATCATACGCTTCTGCGTTAGTAAATGACATGTTTACAGTTACCGTTGTTATGTGATTTGTTTTTCTCGATGAGGTAACTGATGGCACTCGAGTTTTTAACATTTTCTTCTATAATTCGAGAATGGATGGAGATATCGAGATGCGGTTTTCACTAATATTTAGCAAACTCTATGGTGACTGAGGGTCTGTGAAGTAAACAGTACCGTTCCATTTAAGTTTTTTTTTAAACACAAACATATGTAATCGCAGCAGATAACGCCCTCTAGCTTATTTGTTTTAAATCAAACGGTCTTACTGAAAATATCTTTTAAAAGAGTATAAAATGCTCTTTCAAACAAGACCAAAAATATTCAAATCGGTAGAATGGTCCAGCAGATATTTGAATGTAAACATCTGAAAACGCATTGGCCTGCCCCTCCCTTATTATAACAGATATGAGAAATATCGCGAAACAAAAGCAATGCGGTATTATCCAAGCTACTAAATGATGTCAAAGTTATAGCTCATCGTCTAACTTTCTGAGATAGCGGGAATTTTATGCTTCTCTATGGCAGTTACGCCCCCTAGCGGTCCAATTACGAACTTCATAATAATTTCCAGCTATTTGTCTTGCCCACTCTAGTTAATGGGACATCCTGTTTATTATGAAACAGCCTGTATATTAAACTTTGGCGGGGATCTTTAAAATTCAATAAAAATTGGTACATTCCATTTAAAATAACGAAGTTTTGGTCCATTTTCGGTATAACCGGAAGTTGGAGAAAACTGAAAATATTTTAGCTGAAACGAGCATCTTGGATAAACGCTATACGCAAATTTTCAGAAAAATAGTGCCAGCAGTTTGCCACATACATATAGAGTCAGCTTGTCGTGGCAGACCCTGTATAGGTCTAGAGCTAGATCACTGTATACCAGTTGGTTTGGTATGAATAAATATTATTATTATTATAAACGAATCACCTGTATCAGAACTGAAATTTTCAAAGGAAAAGTTAAATTTTCTATTAACATTTTTGTACAGGGTGTCCAAATTTCGATGGGTTTGCAGGGTATCTCAGTTGTTATGAAAGATAGAATGTTGCGGCTTTCGCGAACCTGAGCTACTTTTTTGTGAAACTTGTCATTCCACGTGATTCCACGTGAAAAAATCTATTAGAACCCGTTTTTACTTTTTTACTAAGTTTCCGGATAGCCGAGACACAGGAGGTGTCTGAAAATCGTAAAATTTGAAACACTCCCTGTATATCAAAAACAAAGAGGGCTATGAAAATTTGGTTTGCGCCATTATAAGTTTCACAAAAAAGTAGCTCAGGTTCGCGAAAGCCGCAACTTTCTATCTTTCATAATAACTGAGATACCCTGCAAACCCATCGAAATTTGGACACCCTGTACATATACTGGGTGTCCCTCAAAAGTGGCTCACCCCCATATTTTTTTGTATTATTGGTGATATAAGAAAACCATTTGGAATGCATAATTAGGCCGTTAAAAAGGATTATTACGACATGAAATCATTCTCTTTGTACTTCCGGTTATACCGGATGTGTGTACTAGTTTCGCTATTTTTTTAAATCTACAATTTTTTTTTCTTCAGTTGGGTAGACAGTATAATTTCACATAACTTTTACTTGAAAAAATTTTCACGATCGCTATTAATTTTTGAAATAAAAATTATTTTCCTTATTTTTTAACGTTAGTTTTCCGAAGGTACTAACTTCGGAAAATGTATTACAACTTTTGACGCATAGTAGCTTGGTTAATAGTATAAATTACGCTATGATCCTCTTGATTTACTGTTTTTCATGTAGTGATCACTGCTATGCTTTAGTCAGTGGTTCTTTTTTAATAATGGTGTAAGTTAACAGTTGTATTAAATTAGTTTTAAAAGAAAAACGCGAATAAACAATTAAATTTAATTCAATTATAAGCTCAAAAAAACTAATTTTCTAAATTTTCAAAATGCCCTCCGCCTCGTTTTTGACATAATTGTATCTTGCGCATTGTCGATCTAACAACTCGACTTTATTCCTGTGGAGATATTTGAGTAATACAATTTCTAACTCGATTTATTTTCTAATGCCTCACGAGACCTTACAGGTGTATTATACACCTCATTTTTGATTTTGCCCCATAAAAAAGAATCTAAAGGTTTGAGGTCAGGTGACCTAGAAGGTTTTCCTTTAAAACTAATTTAATACAACTGTTAATTTACACCATTATTAAAAAAGAACCACTGATTAAAGCGTAGCAGTGATCACTGCTTGAGAAATAGCAAATCAAGGGGGACATAGCGTAGTTTCTACTATTAACCTAGCTACTATGCGTCAAAAGTTGTAATATATTTTCCGAAGGTACTAAAACGTTAAAAAATAACGAAAATAATTTTTTTTTTTTAAATTATAATTGATCGTGAAAACTTTTTCAAGTAAAAGTTATGTGAAATTATGCTGCCTACCCAACTCAAGAAAAAAAAATTATAGATTTAAAAAAATAACGAAATTAGTACTCACATCCGGTATAACCGGAAGTACAAAGAGAATGATTTCATGTCGTAATAATCCGTTTTAACGGCCTAATTATGCATTCCAAATGGTTTTCTTATATCACTAATAATAAAAAAAATGTGGAGGTGAGCCACTTCTGAGGGACACCCAGTAGAGTCAGCTTGTCATGACAGATCCTGTATAGCTCTAGAACTAGACGACTGTATACCAATTGGTTTGGTATGAATAAATATTATTATCATTATAAACAAATCACCTGTATCAGAACTGAAATTTTCAATTAACATGTTTTGTACATTTAGCTTTTGAGGCATATAAATTCTTCTACTATTATAGTGCCTTTCTTGCATTTGTTTGGATTGTTGATTAATTAAATTTGAGCTCTCATATATGTTACATTACATTTTACAAGAATGTTTAAATTTAAGAATACCCATATTTGTTGCAATTAAACCTTCTAACTTCATATAAAAATGAAGATAGATTTCTTACCAATCCATATAAAACTTATTAATTAAACTTAGAGTTTTAAGAGTAAAATATCAAAACAACATGTGTTAAAGGATTAAAACGACATCAAAGCATACATAAACTGTAATATAAAGCATATTAATGTTTAAATATAGGTATATATAATTCAGTATAAATATATCAATTCAACAAAAAACATCTCACCTCTGTTTTCGATTCCTATTATGTCTACTTTCCGTTTCAACGGGTACATTAAAAATTTTAATAAAACCTGATGCGTACTGCGAATGGAACGTGTTAAAAGTAATATTCACTTTGGATTCTAATAAAGCAATCTTCTGTCGAAAATCTTCGTTCAATTTCGTCATTTCCGCCCACTTTTTAATCTTATCGAAGAATTGTACCAAACTTCAAAATAAATTGTGATTAATCAAAAATGATCTAATTTTTTTTATTTACCTTAAGTTACTATAACGAAGTAAACTTGTTAAACTAACACAATGTTCTTGTGGGATTTTTGTATTGCGACAAGCTACAAATATAGCACAACCCAACCAATTCGCCTGATCACCCTAAACATTTTTTAAGGTTATTTTTTATGCTACATTCGAAAACGTTATTTTTACCTCTAAGCTGATACGAGAACGAATTTGTTGATAACTTTCCCAAGCTTGATCGGCGACCTTCTGCTCCAAGTTCAATTTTTCTTTGAGTACTTGGAAATCGAACGAGAGTTCCGATTCTTTATCGTGAGGTACCATTCCGGAAATTGATTTGCTCGCCCGGAACTCACGCACACAGCACTTGTATAAATAAAAAATGCGCGTTTCTCGCGCTAAAAAGACGTAATTGTGGCGGGCAACACCTAAAAATCGCGGGAGATATTTTTATAGGTTATGTTATTTTCGCGCTAGATACAATCACCTGATTATAGATGGCACTCACTGCGCATGCTTTAAATTTTAATTACAAAAAAGGCGGGATTTTTGAAAAAAAATATTTTTTTTAATCTAAATTTTTATTTTAATCAAATTCTATTATACTACTTCGACTTTTTGATCTACTTGAAGATGATGGTGACGAAGATGAAAAAATTATTGAACGTTGACTTGCTGCTGAGAGTAAACGATAAGATTTTTGGACTATTCTCTGGATTTTCTTTTGATCTGGAATTGGTAAATTGGGGGAAAGTTGAAGTTCTGATATATTAGGTAAATCTAGTGCTAAATAAGGGGCTCCTTCAGCTACAGCTCTTCTCATCTGGTTAATTTAAAACGATTATTGATTTCAATATACAGGATGTTTCACTTAAAACTACCAAGCTAAGTATCTCTAGAATGGGTTGAGATATTTTAGTTTTGTAAGAAGTTATTGTTAGAGTACGCAAATGACTTCAGTTCTTAACAGGTTAACAGTCCAAGCTAGAGAATGAGAATGTTATAAAATATACATAAATAGCTAAAAGGTGTTTTTTTGACAGCCCATAATATATGGACCTCCTAAAACAAAATCTACAATAAATCGCCTTGTGAGTCCACAGATTACATGTGGGCTGCGAAAATGTTTAGCTTTCATAATTCATTTTCTGTCGCAATAACCTTTTTACAGACAGTATTATTCAAGTAACATACTTTTGATAAGATTTTGAGCAACAATGAGACGGAAAGGTAAATATACGGACGAAGAATTGAAAAGAATATTAGAAGAGAGTGATTTTGAAAATACTGAGTCAAACTCATCGAATGGAGAGGACAATATAACCGAGGAAGAGCATAGTGATTATTTGGGATTGAGGATTGTCCAATAAATTACGTGGTTGGATTTTCAGGAAACCAAAGCCATTTCACCAGGGAGTCGTGCAGTCATAGTTTTATGCCTTATATAATTCCAGAAGCTACGAGCATCAGAGCGCACTGACTGCTCAGCATTACTTGTAAAGACTTTTGCTTAATCAAGTATCTCAATCTTTCAAACTCCGCATGATAAAAATCACATTTAGTTCGACCCGATTTTTTATCATCCGTTGATGCATAACATACAAATGTCCTATGATCGTTTGTAGAAGGTCACACCAGTTATAGATATGGTATTGAGAAATTGCAGAAAACTCCTTTAACCGAAAGACAGCATAGTTGTGGATGAATCGATGGTTCCTTTTGAAGGGCGTCTACTAATTCGTCAGTGTAATCCAAACAAAACCCATAAGTACGGGGTAAAGATTTACAAGGCTACAAGTTTATATTGGCCAGGATCCCCAAATTTTTAACCTAGATAAACCTGGAAGCGTTGTTGTCGAGCTGTGTAAAGAACTTTTGGAAGAATGAATGATTGTTGCAGATAATGGGTACACAAGTATACCATTAGCTAACTACTTGCTTCAACCTAAAACTGATCTTTGTAGGACTTTGGAAAAAACCGTAAAGACATGCCTTTATTGGTTAAAACAAGAAACTGAAGAGAGGAGAGCAAATTGCTGCTCAAAAAAACCAAGTCACTATCCTAAAATGGAAGGACAAAAGGGACGTCCTCATGATATCTACATGCCACGTAGATGAACAATGCAGATGTGCAAGGGGTGAAATGAACGTCAGAAGCCCAATATGCTATTCACTAGTTCGCAAGAGTCTGAGATGGTACAAAAAATTGCGTTCGATATGCTTTTTGGAGATGAAATGTAATCTTTTGCAGGCACAAACAGATATTGTGAAAAACCTATTCGGCATAAAGGTTACCGGCATCAGCTATGCCGGAGAGTAGCTCAATTACAGATACTTCACAAGGAGTAATTCCGCTGACTGTCCCTAAGAAGCATTTCCTTACACTACTGGATAGAAAAGATGAAAAACTTACTAGACGTGGATGTGCAGGCTGCTACATAGAACATAGACTGAAGGGCAAGACACCAGCAGCTGCAACTAGTAAAGCAAAAAAACTATCGCAAATATGTAATATTTGCACTAAGCTCTATTGTTTAGTTTAGAATGTTTCCAAAGGGTTCATAAGAATATTTAGTAATAATTGTTTTCTTTTGTTCAATAAATAAACAAGATTTTTTTCCATGTCAAAGCACTTTTTGTGTTTTTTATGGTCTGTCCTGTGAAGTCCAAATAAATGACGTTCTTTCAACGACCACAGCTCTAAAGCTCCTCAAAATTGTATCGATGAAGAGTCCACATATGGGCTCTGGAATGGTGGTACTTCCCGTTCACAGCCCATATATGGGGCTGATATGGGGCTACAGTGAAAAATAACAATACTTAAGAACCGAAGTTATTTAGATTTATTTAAGTTATATCTCAACCCAATCCAGAGATACTTGGCTTGGAAATTTTAAGTGAAACATCCTGTATATATTTTAATTTTTACCTGATTTTTCTTTGCTTCTAATTGAGATATTTTAAAATTAATGTTATTGCGATCTTCAGGCTTAATTAAATCTTTATTTAAAATAAATTCTAAAGATTTTATATGTTCAGATAAGTTCTCATCCCATTCACTTACTTCGCTGTAAAAAAAAAGTAAATTAATGAGTCCAATTTGAAATAAATTTGTATTTACCACTTAATCTCTCGTTTTTCTTCAGATATTTTCCAATGAACCGGGATTAAAACGCTATTCTGTAAAGGTGGGGGTGGTAAAACTGAAGAATCAAAATTTCTAATTTTGCCATCTAAAAAATGTAAATCCAAAGAAACCAAATTGTTGCAACAAGTTATTAAAATATTTGNAAAACTAACATATGCATCCCATTTAAAATAACAATGTTGGTTGCCATAGCAACGAAACAAAAAACAATGTAAACAAGTAAATATCGCCAACAAATGTGTCACAATTAATAAAGAAACTTTTATTTGAAACATTTTTCTTTAAAACCACAAATGGCGTAGTTATTGGCTATATTCCAGACATTTAACACACCTGTATATAAATAGCTAAAAGGTGTTTTTTTTTGACAGCCCATATATGGACCCCCTAAAACAAAATCTACAATAAATCGCCTTGTGAGTCCACAGATTACATGTGGGCTGCGAAAATGTTTAGCTTTCATAATTCATTTTCTGTCGCAATAACCTTTTTACAGACAGTATTATTCAAGTAACATACTTTTGATAAGATTTTGAGCAACAATGAGACGGAAAGGTAAATATACGGACGAAGAATTGAAAAGAATATTAGAAGAGAGTGATTTTGAAAATACTGAGTCAAACTCATCGAATGGAGAGGACAATATAACCGAGGAAGAGCATAGTGATTATTTGGGATTGAGGATTGTCCAATAAATTGCATACGTGGTTTGATTTTCAGGAAACCATTTCACCAGGGAGTCGTGTACTCATAGTTTTATGCCTTATATAATTCCAGAAGCTACGAGCATCAGAGCGCACTGACTGCTCAGCATTACTTGTAAAGACTTTTGCTTAATCAAGTATCTCAATCTTTCAAACTCCGCATGATAAAAATCACATTTAGTTCGACCCGATTTTTTATCATCCGTTGATGCATAACATACAAATGTCCTATGATCGTTTGTAGAAGGTCACACCAGTTATAGATATGGTATTGAGAAATTGCAGAAAACTCCTTTAACCGAAAGACAGCATAGTTGTGGATGAATCGATGGTTCCTTTTGAAGGGCGTCTACTAATTCGTCAGTGTAATCCAAACAAAACCCATAAGTACGGGGTAAAGATTTACAAGGCTACAAGTTTATATTGGCCAGGATCCCCAAATTTTTAACCTAGATAAACCTGGAAGCGTTGTTGTCGAGCTGTGTAAAGAACTTTTGGAAGAATGAATGATTGTTGCAGATAATGGGTACACAAGTATACCATTAGCTAACTACTTGCTTCAACCTAAAACTGATCTTTGTAGGACTTTGGAAAAAACCGTAAAGACATGCCTTTATTGGTTAAAACAAGAAACTGAAGAGAGGAGAGCAAATTGCTGCTCAAAAAAACCAAGTCACTATCCTAAAATGGAAGGACAAAAGGGACGTCCTCATGATATCTACATGCCACGTAGATGAACAATGCAGATGTGCAAGGGGTGAAATGAACGTCAGAAGCCCAATATGCTATTCACTAGTTCGCAAGAGTCTGAGATGGTACAAAAAATTGCGTTCGATATGCTTTTTGGAGATGAAATGTAATCTTTTGCAGGCACAAACAGATATTGTGAAAAACCTATTCGGCATAAAGGTTACCGGCATCAGCTATGCCGGAGAGTAGCTCAATTACAGATACTTCACAAGGAGTAATTCCGCTGACTGTCCCTAAGAAGCATTTCCTTACACTACTGGATAGAAAAGATGAAAAACTTACTAGACGTGGATGTGCAGGCTGCTACATAGAACATAGACTGAAGGGCAAGACACCAGCAGCTGCAACTAATAAAGCAAAAAAACTATCGCAACTATGTAATATTTGCACTAAGAAAAATAACAATACTTAAGAACCGAAGTCATCTACGAACTCTAGCAACTTGTTACAAAATTGCAACATCTCAACCCATTCTAGAGATACATGGCCTAGGAATTTTAAGTGAAACATCCTGTATATATTTTAATTTTTACCTGATTTTTCTTTGCTTCTAATTGAGATATTTTAAAATTAATGTTATTGCGATCT